TTTAAGCTGGTACCCCGCATCTCTGCTGAGGACCCCGAGTTTGCACAACACGAGGGTGTCTCGCCCCTGCTCATCCCTGCAGCCCTCAGGGCCTGTCTGCTTGACTTTATTTAGCCTCCTCTGAGTCAGGCACTGGCACGAAATGATGAGCAACACAGATAAACGGTGTGTTCTGAAGTGGATGGGGAGGAGCCGCCCTCCTTACTGAGGCTCCTCGTGCATCCATGTGGCCCCCTGACCATCAGCAGCTGAGAAATAAAGTGACTTGCAACCCCCGGAGACTCCAAGGCAGCGCTGGCTCCGAGTGTCACGTGGTCCAGCCTTCTCGAAACTCCGGGGATGTAAAAACCCAAGGAACAGATGGAAGAATAGATGGCCTAGCCAGTGCCTCAGTTTCCTCATTAAAAGCAAGCTAATTCAAGTTCTGTCCTACTGTAGGCATTCGCCTCGACCTCGGGAAAACAAAATTCCAATTTAAATGGCAGAAGTGGGCTTGTGACAATGCTAATTGTCTCGTTCAGTGCTTAGGCAGTTTAAATTTAAAAATTTTTTGCAGAGACAGATGATAGAAACCTCATAAAAAAGATCACTGGCATTTTTTTTTTTTTTTTTTTGGTACTGGGGATTGAATTTAGGGACACTGAGCCACATCCTCAGCCCGATTTTGTATTTTATTTACATACAGTGTCTCACTGAGTTGCTTAGGGCCTCACTTTTGCTGAAGCTGGCTTCAAACTCTGTATCTTCCTGCCTCAGCCCCCTGAGGGAGCCTCTGGGATTACAGGCATGCGCCACCACACCCAGTTCATTGGCTCTTAATGGGAGAAAGGTCATCTACCTTCTGATAAGAAACGAAAAATAACTAAAATACCATGTTTCACTCGTCAGTTTCAGTTTCGGAAAGACCAAAGTATTTGCTCACACGGTGGGCCAATGTGGGGTTAGATTAGTAAAATCTCTATGGAGAGATAACTGGTAACATTTGGTAAAATTGCAAAGGCTTGAACTCTTTGATTTGGTGATTGTCCTACTCACAGCTGTGTTTATAATACCAGTTGACAGGAAACAACTTAAATGCCCACTAGCATGGGATGGACTGAATAAATGAAGGGCTGGCCACACACTAGAGTACTATGCAGCTGTGTAAAAGCACCAGGAAGCTCTCTGTGTACTAAAATAGCAGAATCTCAGGGTGTTATTAAGTGAAAAATGGTGCTGAGATCTTTTTCTCTACCATTGCCCACGAGCATGCCAGATCTTCCCCCACAGACCCGTCTGAGAGATCACACAGCCTTTTGGGGTCCCTAACCCCAGCATGCTCTCTAGCCCAGCAAATGCTCTGCAGCTGATCAGAGCACAGAGAGAGCAGGGACCCTTGGAGACCAGTGACAGGTCCCAGAGAGGTGGTCCTGACTTAGCTCTGCAGATGACTACTGCTGTGGGGATACTTGCCTGTCCTCCTTAGGCCCGGAATCCTCACTCCACAGACTTTTGGTCTATCCTTGGTCTTATATACTGATTTACCTCTGCAAGACAAGCAGAGCTTTGCTCTCTCCCTCCTAAACTGTCTCCTCTGCGTTAGCTTTTTTAGAACCTCTTAGTGCTGTCAGGGAGTCTGCTCTGAGCTCTGGGGTTCAACTCTCCTAAGAACACTTGCCCTGAGCTCAGCTTCCAGGGGAAGGGTTACACAGACCTCTGGGACTCTCCCCCATTCTGCAAACTAGCGCGGGCAGCTGTGCCAAGGCTCTGCAGCAAACCACTCAGGTGCCAGTCTTGACCCTGGGATTTCCCGGTATCTGTGATGTTGGCCGAGTTTCTAGCCCTCACTCTCTTAAGAACTGGAGATACTTCGAGCATCTCTCTTAAAGACCTACTTAATAGCACTTGGCACAAAAGCAAGTACCCAATAAATGTTGCTATTATTTTATGGGCCACTGGGAAGCTAGCTTGAGTCAATCCACAGTGTATTGAGAGGAAATTTATTTCCTCACAATTTCCCTTAACGGAACTTCAAAGGAGAAAGTCATTTGGCGATGCTCTCTCTGCCCAGCAACCGGGCAATGGTGATGGGAGGCAGGGCAGTCTGCCACCCTGGCTGAAATCCCAATAATGCCCAGCAGGCTCTCCCTGTCCCCCGTGTGGCAGGAGGGGTGGACCCCCTTCTCCACTGGGGCTGAGGATGAGGGAGTCGAGTGTGGGTGGGATTGAAGCCTGGTAGGGTCCAAGGAACCGTAAGTCACCCACTTACGTCAGTGGGGTCTTTAATGCTAGCCCTGCGACTCCCACACAGGTGAGAGGCTCTGACAGCCAGGTGTGGGGGAGCCCCTTCCCCTGCCTCCTCCTGGCTGAGGCTTCCTGGTACAGCACATAGAAGCCTGTTCTGCCCCAGGTATCTCTGCCACATCCCTGAGCAGCTCCAGGCCTGCTGAGCCTAGGAACTGGGCCCCATCACCCTCTCTCTGACAGGAAGCCCCCTCTGCGGCTCCATCCTTCTTTCCTCTCTGCCTCTTCTTCTGCCTCCTCCAGGACCCACTTCCTCTCAGCCTCACATAAAGGCACAGAGAGTTTCTTTCCCTCCTTTCACAATCACACTTCCTGGCTCTGCTCTTCTACTATTCCCCAGATTTATGATAACGATGCTGAGGAATCTGGGAATGGCCGGGGCCTCGGAGGCAGAGGTGTTTGCGTGAGGATACATCTGCTTGGAAAGATGCTCTCTGGAAGTGGAGAATGGAAGTGTCACCAGCAATCTTGTCTCTAGAAAAAGCTGCAGATGCCAAAGCAGCTGAGCAGCTGGCTGCTTCCTTAACTCTGGGAAAGCCAGGGGTAGGGGAAGAAGTCCACAGGGGCACCTTGAATTTCCCAGAGAGGCACTGCCCACGCATGAACTGGGATTTATTAACTGTGCACGACTTGAGTCTGGGACAGGAACTCGCGCCCTGAAGGCAGATCATGAATGAGACAAAGTGCCCTGGCTCTGGAGAGACTCGCTTTGCCCATCTGCTCAGGGGCATTGATGCTGAAGCTGGGGGAACTTGCCTGTCCCGCCCACAGGACACGGACATGCGTGCATCACACGATCACTGATCGCTCACCTGCTCACACAGACGCCAATTACACCCAAAACAGACCTGGTATTTCTCACCGGCAAGCCCGACAGCTGACATAGACACATGAAATGTACACACAGATCCGGCCCCAAAGGCAGTTGACATTCTCCACTCACACCTCCCACCACTTTCTTCCCACCCACGAGGCGCACGCACAGAGATGCACAGATACAAAGATACCTCCCAGCCCTGCCCTCCTCACGCCCGAAGACAACAGACGATTCTCTCTGCTTTGGGGACTCACAGCCAGCAGCCTCACGTGGGACGCTGGTCTTGTTCAGTCACTCATACAGACACACGCAGGAGGGATCTGGACACACAGGGGCACACTCCAGCCTGGATCCTCTGCCCTTGCCTCTCACAACTCCTGATCTGAGCCTTGCAGGGGCTTCTGGGAAAGTGGCCCTGGGACGCAGACCTCACTCCCTGGAGGCAGCACCCTGCACGCCCACTCTCTCACCCCTGCCTGCGCCAGTGAGAGCTCCAGGAACCTCAGGGGACAGGATGACCAAGCTCATCCTGGGTTGCCGGTGTCCTGGAACAGCCTCGGTCCTGGTCGCTATCTCAGGGAGCCCAGTTTGGACCTGGGTGAGCAAGAGCAACACCTGGCTGTGAGGCTGTGCCTCGAGGCAGCCCATTTCCTCTGAGCTGACCCCTGTTTACAGGTCTATAAATTGGAGCTGTGGTTCTCCTCAACAAATGGCCTTGAGCATGGCTTCTGTCCTCAGCTGCGGGTCACTGCCTCTTCCTTCCTGAGGCCTCCAGCCTGGCAACACGAAAATGCTCAGGCAGGCCAGGCGTGGTGGCACAGGCCTGTTATCCCAGCAGCTCGGAAGCTGAGACAGGAGGATCACGAGTTCAAAGCCAGCCTCAGCAAAAGCAAGGTGCTAAGCAACTCAGTGAGGCCCAGTCTCAAAATAAAATATAAAATAGGGCTGGGGATGTGGCTCAGGGGTCGAGTGCCCCTGAGTTTAATCCCTGGTACCTGCCCCCCCACACACACACAAAAGATGAATATGCTCAGTCAGTCTGATACACAGGCTGATCTGCTGATCCCTGCCAAGCCCTGGGCTTATGGGTCCAGCGCACCTAGCCCAAAAGTCTGAAGGGGTGGGCAGGAAAAGCTAGACAGGTAAGCCTGGCTCCTGGAGAAGGCTTCCAAGTGGCCGTGCACAGGGGACCACCTGCTCAAAATGTCTTCACTGCTGGATATCCTACCTTAGAGCTCTGGTTCCTTAGATTTTGAAGATTTTTCCACCTGCCTGGTCAAATGCTCCCTGACCTACCTCCTTCAGGGGTCACCACACCACGTCAGAAAGACTTCAGTGGACTGAGGAGTCAAGGGTCAGTCTGACTTTGGACAAAGCTGTAAGCTCAAAAAATGTGATAAATAATCTTCTTCCATCTCTCTCTCTCTCTCTCTCTCTCTCTCTCTC